ACAGAACTATTTTGTTTCAAAGAAATCTGTCAAAGGGATCTACTTAAATTTTTAGAAATGGATAACATGCATCATGTACAATGCACATTTACACCTGGAAAATATTTGGCCTTAATTGGATTTATGTTTTTTACACCCTCTAAGGGATTTATTTCACATATTTGACAATAACTCTGCAACCAGATAATTTTTTTCATTCTGGTTTCAGTTTTTAATAGGAAATTCACTTACCTTTCATAATATATATAGATTATTTATGTTGTATGCAAGAATATATGAGTAAACTTAATCATAAAGAGTCCGGTATCTAAAGTGTTTTGAACATTTTGTAGCATTTACATATAACAATATATTATTTGAATATATATTTTGGTGACAGTGATGTTCTTTGATCTAGGATTGTACAAAAAGTTATCATGCGATTTACATCTGGGTTGTTTAATCTGAAAGGAAATAGATTAAACAACGATTAGATGAAATTTCATGTAGATTAAATTATTATAAAATTATTGCAAAGAATGTGCTCTGGGGTCCAAAATCCATTTAAGAGTTTAACATATCTCATCAGCTGACAAATATTTGAATCTCACTTGCCTTCTATTGTAAAATTTTATACATGTATACTAGGTCAATCAATAAGTTCTGATAACAAAAATCCTCTAAAAATGCAAAATCAAGTTTTGTGATTCTTTATTTGAAATTTTCACAGAATATGTCAAATGAATATAGCAATTATTGCAACAACTTTCATGCACTTTCCCCTTATTGGACCAAAAATATGGTTACTATGGTAACTCATGTTTGGGCAGGTGGGGCAGATGATTTAAAGCGCAATAAATGTTAATAAGTCAATTTATAAATATCTTTCTAAGCTGCTTCCTGTATAAAGGTCAGTCTTATAGTCCTAGTACACTATTTGATATCAATTAGATGCTCAAAATAGTTTCCATGATTTTGGAACACTTATCCTGGCGTTGAACCAAATGGTGGAACAGGCGTCTGAATGCATTAGGAAACCTTCACAATTATATTCGAAATATGCATACATGTACCTTTCACAGATACCAGTTTTTTCTTTTTCCTTGTACTCATTTTCAAAATTTTCTATTGCCATTTTTTAACTTTAAGGAAGCTTTATAGTAAAATTACTGTGATATATGTATTGCATTATGTTAGTCTTTCATGTGAATAATTATTCCAAACTGTAATGCTTTTAGTCGCCACTCTTGCTGATCATACCATTCCTTTGGGTTGAACTGATCAATTATGCTCTTTTTGATAGACTCTCTTTTCTTGCATGTCTTGTGTCACCTGCAATGAGTAATAAGTAATCCTGAATTAACAACACAGTACTAGATATAGTATTGAAAACTACAATAATAATTCAAATGTTGCAGTGCATATTTATTACATATTACAGATGGCTAACCCAGATCAGTTAACATGAAAGGCATACAAAATGTTCCCCTAAACTTAAAACAATTAGGCCTAAAAGATTTAATATATCAATTTTTATATTATATTTTGGATTTTATTTGTGTTCAGAAAAAAGCACATTAAATGCATTACCTGTAATGTTCAATAAAATAAAATAGTTTAATATTTCATGTGAGGATTTTATAAAATAGACTTGTGGAAATCTACCTCATGACCCACTTCCCTTGGCAAAAGTAGGCCATGGGCCTGATAGTGCACATTGGTGCATATATAATATTCAAAATCAATCATAAGAAAAACTTACTAATTTATTCTTCAATCAAGTATTCTGTGAAAGGTCTGTCTGTATAATTCTCTAACAAACCTGGAATTTGCCACAACAATTCAGCTTCCCACATGGGATATTGAATTTAGCTTCCTTTTCATATCTGTCCAGCATGTTACACTACAGTTCCCTGGAGGCCATCTTGACATTACACTCCGAATCTGAAACATGATAAAGCTTGAATAAGATAGTATGAAGCTGTTTTAAGGTTTTAAAATACGTATAAACATACATATCATTTTTGAAGGTTCAAAAATGGGGCCGGACCCCATGCCCCCCCCCACCTCCCTCGATCCGCCAGTGCATGTATTGTCAAGACTCTTGATATTCCAACTCATCATTACCGGGCAGCATACGACAACACCACTTATTCGTATAAGCCATCCCGTTTTAGGCTGAACGGTGAAGCGTTATTTTATTGGTTTAGGGCGAAGGGGTGTAATGTCGACATGTGGGGTAATGTCGACATAATGGATGGGGTAACTTCGACACTTACGTATTAGAAGTAGAATTTCCGTTTTCCACCATGTTTGATTTCTGGAAAAATTAAAATCTCGCGAGATCTCGATCCATGCGAGAAAAAAAACATGGCTTCCCCCTAGATCGGAAATTAGAGCAAATAAACAACAAGGTGTCGAAGTTACCCCACATGTCGAAGTTACCCCAAAACGGTGTCGACGTTACACCCCTTCGCCCTATTTGAAATATTGATCAAAATAAATCTCGTTTTTTCGAACATATGTCACGTAACACAATCGATTTCTTAATAAATATAAATAGTAATATTACCTTTCTACCAAATCCGCCTTTTTATCCCTTTTTGAGACTCCAAACCTCCATAATTCGATCTTTAAACTCCGAAAAGTTTCTGAGGCAGAAAAATAAACCGGAAGTAAAATTTGACTGAATTTGGGCGATAATAGGGGATGCGCCACCTATCGCCAATGTGACGTAATAATACGACGTTTTAAGCCATTATGCGCCGATGACGTATACATGATTGCTGTCGCAGTGTTGCGACAGCCAATCAAATTGCGAGTTCTCAATCGGGGAAATGTTAACTGCTTATAGCAGGGGGAAGAAGGAGGTACGGATTCTGGACACCTGCTTAGGAGGATGTCATAAGTCTGGCAACCATTTCTTACACTCCCCTTCATAAATTACAATTATAAGATTTTTCATTAATTTCCGAACGATTGTAATTGTGGAACAAAATTCAGATTCAACATTGAAAGTCTCTAATATGATATCCATTGAAAACTTCGTGTTGTCAAACTTTTTGAGGGGAGTGTACATACCGTTCAGTAATTTGTTTGCAAGTCTGAAATTAAGAAAAATATACACAAACTTTCCAATGGATGTGTGTAAGTAGGTTACACTCACTTAATTTCTGAAGTTTGTAGACTTTGTTGCGATTGCTTTCATGTTTTCATAATAATACACTTATACTGAATTGATGGCGTTGCTGAAAGTCGACTTCTTGATTAACATACACCTCGGAAAACCTGATGCAAAAATCATTTTTCATGAATTCAGATTTATGATGAATTAATCTAGTTGGACATTGCTCTTAGTCGTGGTGCCAAACAATAAACACGAACTGAAAGAAGCCAATAATCGTGACTAACTGTCTCCTATTGAAGAACAGGAAGTCACCTTTGAAATGAAAGCATATAAAGGATGCTGCATTAACTGTAAAAATGTTAAATAAATCTGACAGACATTTCAAGAATAAATGAAGTCGTGTTATTAGTTGTCTTGTTCTTCTACGTTCCTTTGTATTCCACCAATGGTAGTAAATGACAGGAATTAATGACGACATCTTGAAAACATTTAGTCAATGTCTGTCCATAAACTCTTTCCATAAATGAAAGTAAAATGAGGTAGAAGCAGATAATGCCTAACGATCTTTTGAATACAATTATACTCAGTGATAGATTCATTTTGACTCTTTTTGCGCCATTGGAATAAAAATTCAATTTTTCTGAAGGCGTAGCGCTTACTCTTTCAGTCGGGTTACAAGAGCTAATTGACTCGTCGTCCTCCTAAAAATCTATCATTTTCGGATAAACTACTTTCAGAGAGATTACACTAAACGGCATTTGGAACACTAAATGGTTTGTAGTTAAGTTATTTTTCTAATACGAAATTTGATCCTATGTTTTCCGATGGGCTTGTTGATTTTCCTGAAATGAAAGATTGGTTAATCTGCGCTATTAGACAGTAGACTGAATGGAATGATGATGGTTTATACAGGTTGTACCGAAAGTTACAAGGGTCATTTAAGAAGCTAACTAGTTTCCATATTATGCTTTATAAGCTTGGTGGTATACTAAACATGAAAACTGCGTTAAGATTTATAGTTAAATGGCGACCCAAAAATTAATTTGACCTACATTTTAACTAAGTAGGTCAGTGACCTACGAGTTTCTGAGCTATAATCAATGCCTTGTGACAAAAGCTTATACTCGTGCAATAAGGAACAATCCCCTGGTTTAGCTTTGCCAGAAAATATACACTTCCCTTCATAAGTTTGGCAACTGGAACTCACAACAATTTTGTAGATTTTGTATGGTCAACATAAAACAGGCTTCATAAGTGATTAAAAAGGGGATATCTTGTTGCCAAACTAATGAAGAGGAAGGTAATACACTGCCGTCTTTCTATCGACCTTGTACGTATGTCTTACAATATTACATAATTACGAAATATCAGTTCATGTTTATCCTTTAAAACGTTCAAACAAGATCAAGGACCATGAGATTGACAGTCGGGAATATTTTGGGTTCCATCCAAACTGCAAACTTTCTATCCTAATGAACGAGAGGATTATGGGGTTCACAAGGGTATATATTTTATTGCTTCTTATGTCACAACGAATTTTGAATTATAAGATATATTGTTTTCTTTTCAATAAGTATTCGATTTACCTTTCTGTTACGCAAGCAGTTTGATGATTAAGATTTTTGTTAAGATTCCTCATCGGTTATATAAAGATCCATAGTCTGGCACGAATGATTATGTTGAATAATACATGCTTTATTGGCAGATTATTATAAGGCACTAATGCTTAAGTTTGATAGCTGCCAGCTCTACCAGATGCAGTAGGTACCCTCTCGGAAACAAGCGGCTACTCAACAGAGTTGCCGAACAGTTCATATCTCTACTGTTTCGTTCTCAATGCTAAACAGGGAAAGAAGAGTGGATCTTCAGAATTGAGCTATAGCAGGGTATAACCTGAATGTGTAGAAATTCCGTAAAGTCAGCGGTTGATAAAATTTTAGAAAGGCATAAAATCGAATTAGCTAAGACCGGTTTGACATTTAAGGCATAAGAAAGGAGTTGTGTTCTGTTGTGTTGAGTTGTATTCTAAATGATGACCCAAACTGCTGAGATAAAATCTTACAATCTTCGTTTTGTTTTTTGTAAGAGAGCTGAGATTGGCCTAAGCTCAAGTAGGGAGTCTTAGATTAACAAGCTTGGGATCAAGGAGGGCCAAGAAAGGATAGCCTAAACAGAGAATTAAGGTGAACCCCTTACGAGAATATTGCATAGACTTAACACAATATATGGTGGATTTCACAAACGAACAACCTTCAACGTATTCCACGTTTAAACGAATTGTGATATTTCTATTTAGTATAAGTGACGTTTTTGCATTTTCTGCGTTAATCCAGAGAAAGTTCTAATCGGTCAAGTTGGACGTTGCAAGAGGTGGAGCTTTCGAGTAGGCTATCTGCTAGCGGCAATCTGACAGAGGAGGGTGTAATAAATGAAGACTGTTGCAATTGGATTCAAAAAGCAAGTAGAATCAACAAGAAGGAGGTGTTATATGAAAGGATAAGCCTGTTATCCATGGGATTTCTATGATAAGTGCTTGATTAAATACAACATAGCGGAGAAAATCAAGTTTGTCAGTTGCAGAACCTGTAATTTGCTTCAATCAAAGAGGTGAAAAGCGACCACTTTTATTGATTAAACCTCGGAGAATTGTTATTAAGCACAAACAAAATTCAAAGCGTGACTATATATAACGACAACGTCGAAAGAATTCAGTTTGATTAAAATCGCTCAAATGAGCGTTTTAGTTTGTGTGGCAGTTGAAAACCCAATCTAAAGCAACAATTTGGATTAATTTTTGAGTATCTCTTCGGTCATCAAGATGGGGCTTGGGAACTGTTACAACTGCATCCGCTACATGGTCTTCATCTTCAACTTTGCATTTTGGGTAAGTGTCCGATCCTCCACCTTTAATGATATCATTTCCAAAAGATATACTGATTGGTCAGGATGGAATAGTTGGGATACAGTATTATTTCTTCTTTTATCGTTTATTAATATCTAGAGGCAGAATCAGATCTAGCAAACAGCCTTTCCATAAACTGTTTTTGTTTTAGAATACTTTCGTAATCATCTTTCTACGAGATTAATGAACGCTTAGAACACTTTTAAAGCCTAAATTAGATCAACAACTTTTTCCTCTTTGAAGTAGTTTATCATGAAAAAATAAACAATTTCTAATAATCTATACGCAATAAAACATCATTCCTTTACGATTAAAAACGTCACGATATACTAATGCAAAGGACAATTTAAGATCGATCTTTTCCGTTTTCCAAGACGTAGAACTCCATTGTAAGAACAACAGCAGTTGGGAATTAGTTTGATTACAGCCAAATTATCAGACCGATACCTTCTAACAAGCCTTAATTTGTACAAGGAGATAATCCTTCCGCCGATTATAGGCAATTACATTGTCACTGTTTACAATTACAAGACGTATTTAGTTCGTACTTTTTCAAACAGGTACTTTAGTACATGGTTCTGTACTTATGGCCTCATTGACCGAGTAATTTTAGGTAATTTTATTATAAAGTACAAACGATTGGAGATATTCTTGAACTGAGACTAAGGCCATCGAGGATAAGGTTCATGTTTAGTTGCAAACAGAAAAAGATCAAATTAGGGTAACAAATGAGTACCATTTAACGCGATGTATAAACCCACAAGGATTAGTAACTAGTACAGAAATAAGTCACACATTTTTCAGTTTTGAAAGGTGGATCAACGTCGGGAGGATAATGTATCAAAGAACTTAGGTACAACATAAGTTGGAGAACATGTCAAGTCGAACATGAAAAAACAAGTGCAACTGGTGTGTTGATAAACTTACATCATTTTTGTAGTAGAACATAGCTAAATGTTCATAAAGGCATGGCATTTCAAGAGATAAGGGGAGCTATACCGTGTATATAAGAATACCAGAGATAAGCCGAATATAAAATGCTGTGACTTTTTTCGCTTCGTTAACTTTTCGTTTTAGTTTCTTATTCTTAAAATAATACCCAGTTGGCAAAAATTTAAAAGCCAAAAAGGAGAACCACATGGGTTTCACAGCAGCTTAGTTCTACAGTAAAACCTGCCTTAGTGAACACCTCTCTCTAGTGAACGCCTCTAGTGAACACCTCTCTCTAGTGAACACCTCTAGTGAACACCTCTCTCTAATGAACACCTATCTCTAGTGAACACCCTTCCTCCGCACATGCTCTACTGACTTCTGCAATCTCTCTCTCTGTAGTGAACACATAAATCCCGGTAAAAAATGTTCAATATACGCAGGTTTCACTGTATAACTAAACGTTTACCCCTAGTGTGGAGGGGCCCTAGTCACCATATTCCCACTCATTAATATGCCTAATTATAGTTTATGAACCATGCTTGGAATTTGGAAATCGTAGTTTGGAATCACTTGAAGCAACGATAGAAATTACAAAACAACAAATAACTACGCAAGGCGCATACCCTAGAAGGTTAAGTAGCCCGGCCCACAGTTTTTTATTCGTTATTTATTTATCTCATCTTTTAAATCAGATAAGATAAAAACAGGGACTAAGACTGAGAAATCTTGGCGCACGAATTTGCTGTTGATTGGTCGTGTCATAGACATTTGTCCAAATGGGACATATTCCAGAAATAAAGTCCCATGTTCGTCTTTACCCAAATGGATTTGTGTATTGTTTCAAAATAACCTTTCTTTTGCTGTCAAATCCTCCCAAGAAATATCAATAGCAAAGCAGATTTGGACATATTGAATTGACAGTTTTAACAATTAGTTTTCACATTTAATGAATATGGTTATACTCGCTCTAATAACCTGGTCGTGAAAACCTTCTTAATATAGTTCTATCATTGACTTTCTTCATGTCCATGGTTCTATGGAAAAATCATTCAAAGTTAAGTTCCAAGTTCCTAGAGTTTCTACATTTTGTTATACATATGTTTTTCTTGTGTATGCTGAGTTTGAAGTTTATAAACATTCATGGCCTTGTGGCTGATAGAATCAGTTTGCTTATTTATGCCAAACCTTGCAGACGATCAAGCGGATATCTGTATCAGAGAAATGGCATTTAAGAGTGGTTTCCCTGCTTGAAATTCCACTTTCCATTTTGTATGGTGAGTGTTTAGATTAGGATTCATAACATTAAGTGGCTGCATTTTCGTGCCAATTCCAGTTAGGCTGTCAGATTTTAAGTTTCATTTGGATCAAAAAGGCATGACTGGCCTACCAAGCCTCACATCACGGTTTGTTTTTTGTTTGGTTATTTATGGCCAGCATCTGGCTTCAAGAGTCCCATTACCGTGTGTACTAACATACTCTCGTTTGTAACATTCCAAACGAATTCTCCTTGCAAAATTCGCTCATCTGACTTTCTTACTTCTTTACAGTCAGAAATCGAATATAGTGAATCAAGCATTTGGAGAATTGTACGGATTTCACAAACGTCCATAATGCATTGGCCTTCATACAAACCCCAGCTCCTTGCCCCGCTTTCTCTAAGTCCGCGGCCAGCTGAATAAGCTTCTGTATACACATGGATATGTTTCTTGTTTGGTGTGTTGGACCAATTTGAAGTGATCTGATAGTTAGGTTATCCATCTCTCATCTGCTAAAGAGGGACAAGATAAACATCATTGCTTTTCTTGCAGTTGATGTTGATAATCAGTCCAACATTTTGATCAGTTTGGTGCTTTAATAAGATCACGATAGAGTGAAAAGCAAGGAATAAGCCCCGGAAAATATGGAATATAATTCTTTTTTATCTGAAATTAGAGATGACTATTTAAACGACAATATCAAAAAAGATTTTAAAAATCAGTTTGAAATAAAAAAAAGAAAAACAGTTTGATTAAATCATGATCTTCAGCATCTTGGGTTGCCAAGGTATGAAGTTTTCATTGAAAATCAAACTGGTAAGCGATATACAGTACGAGCTCAGTTTATTTTCTTATTTTGTCTGATTTAAAAGATTTCAAAGTCAAAATAAAGAAAAAGAGCCTGGATGTAAGGTTGCTCTTAGTATGCCCAATGCTAGTTATTTGTTATTCTGCAACTTCTATCATTGCCTCAAGTGATTACCTAACTACTTTTTCTAAATTCCAAGAACATGGTTCATAAACTATTTTAAGGCATTTTAAATGAGTAGATATCTGATGAAGATATCAAGGAGATGAACGTTTAGATGGTTTATAATTTGATTGCGCTTCTTAAAAGAGAACTTCATCTGCAGTAATTACCAGCGTCAGAACATAAGAGTACTTTAACAGCGTATGCTTTTCTTCCGAAATCTTATAAGACGCAATCTACTTAGTAAACTAATAGCTCTATAAAAGACATGATAACATGGAGGTAATTAAGCAGCTAACTAAAAACGTTATTCCCAGCCTGGGAGACTCGGTGGGTGATATCTTTTTAGCAAGCTGGCAACTGCCACTTAAACATTATGCTTGTTGCAAACGTCACGACGAACAACAACGCTAATCACAACATCTGTCCGAAATTATGAAGCATCCGAATTTCAGTTGTTCACACCGCCTGTGAGATATTCTCTCAGCTTTGAAACAGATCGTGAGTTTGATCATTATGGATTAGTCTCTCCTTTCCATTAATGCATAACATGTTTATATTCAGAAGGTTGTTTATTTTCTTGACGTGTCAGCATTTAGAGTTAACTTGTTGAATATGGAATACTTTCCGTTTGCTGTTTATATGGTCAGATCACATCAGGTGTACGTTGAGGGATGCTTCAAATGCTTTGATCTCAGACATAAGATGCCATGGTATTATTGGTTGGGTTTGGTGATCCAAGATTAGAGATATTTTGATATCGCTCATGTCAGCTTATTCGCATACATAGAACACGATATGAATATCAGGATATCGGAATAGCTGCAATGGGAAAATTGACATCATAATTAGCATTTACTCTTTTATTTCTAAAATCTGAAGTCTTCCAAACAGGGAAATCAGTGTATACCTTTTAATCATTTGAAATACCTCGGAGGATGATCAAGATAAGTTCTTTAAAAGTAGATATGAAAAAGAAAGAGTCATTGAACCTCGTCTTTCAGACGCGTTGGTTCTTGGTTCTGCAGAATGTTATTGAAATTCATTTGATTAAAAGCTCTGCATACCACTATTTTTGCGCCAGGCCAGGTTTACACATCAATTTTGATTTACTTTTGGAATGGGAAGGTTAATCGAAAATGAAAAGAAACTGATGTGAAAAATCAGGGCGAAGGCGTTTTGCTCAAATAATGAAAATACTTAAGATGGAATGAAAGCGATGTTATCAAAAAGAGAAATCTAATGGAAGAATTATCTGATGAATCCTTGGTATTGGAAAATGGAGTAAAACTAGAAACAATGGAGGCGTTTTAGTTCCGTCTCGAGTTTAAATGGTTATTGAAGCACTAAGATCTGATTGAGGTTTTTCAATCCCTGGATAAGTTTATATTATTAGTCAGTTAATAGAGTAGATCATTGTGATAATCCTAAATGATTTGCAAAATATAGAATTGATAAAAACGCATCGAATTTCTTCCCAGTTGGCACTGTAAAAGTAATATGAGGAAAATGATGCCAATAAAATAATTTTCTCTATTAGCCACTTTGAATAATATCACATCGAGTACACATCTGGAGAAAATTCCATTCCGTTTGCAATACGTATGCGTCTCTGAAAAGCTCTGACCAATATTAGTTATCAGAAAATTCCCTCTGTCTACTATACAGAGTAAAAATATTTTACGTATTTGTCGGCTTTCACTTTTCTTTCATTGTGGTAATGAATTGAATGAACTCCCGAGAGTCATCTAATCAAAATAACAATACTTGGAATCGTCTGCTAATTCAGTCCAGATTATCCTTCTTTGTTTGTGTGAACTGCT